ATATAATACTATAGTATAATGCATAAATACCGGGTGTGGTTTCTACAAGGTTGCAACCTTAGACAATCCAATTAAGGCGCACCTCCAAATTTTATCATAACATGTAATTTTGGTGTAAAAAATTATTAAGATTATCTGAAAATCTATTTTTATATCTAATTATAAAATTCTAAATTTTAAAAATGGTTAAAATCAAGTAGATCTATAAACATATATAAATCTTGAAAATCGAAGGTCTAGATAATGTGTTTCAAGGTGCACTATTCTGGGATTCAAAATATATTCTTTTCTCATATTTTTACATCTCGACATCAAGATGATCAATTAGACAGTTTTTCAACATTAAAACAACCTTTTTTGGGTGGATTTTTTAGGTGCATCTTTAATTCTACATTTGAAGGTTGCAACCTTATATAAACTTTTTCCTTATATAATATGTATAATATATTTATGTATTATACTATAATATTATATATTTCCTCTAATTTTATATGCTATAATATAATATAAAATAATATATCATTTATATAAAATATTATTTATATATTACATATTGGTTATTATTGCAATATAATGTATCTGTTAATAAAATATTATGATAACATGTGGAATATTGTTTCATGCTGGCTAGACCACATTTCTACATATGCGGTCCAGAAGGGTAAAACATCTATCTTAAAGATGGATTCAAGTAGGTGGTCCATCTAAAAATAATGGAAACTAACAGTCAAAATGTTTTCTTAATAAAATTATTATTTTTAGTTTTTAAAATTTATTTATTTTTCATATTCATGATCTCCATGTTAGGGATTACATGCCCTTAAAAATTAATTAAACAAATCCATCTCAAAAATAGATTTTTAAGAGGTGCCGTATTTCTACATGTGTGGGCTTGCCCCGCATGCTAACCACGTCCATAATATATTATATTGTAAGTAGTGAATAGTGAATGGTGAATAGTGGATTTGCATATAAAAACAAATGCACAAGGAATGTTTCCCTACCTTAATAGGTGTGGTTTTATTTTACAATGAATTAGAGCATTTCATGGTAAAAGCTTTTACCATGATATTTTATTTGGATATGCATTTGCATGAACCAAACATATGCAACGCAATTTACATATGTAAATATTTCTTGGGGAATCTTTTATGCATGAACCAAATGCACCCTAATGGAATCTTTGGAATATAAGATATCTATACATTAGGATATAATGGAAAGGAATAAGAAAAAAAATAAGGATTTCATCTTAGTTAAGAAATAATATTGAAGTTTGGAATCAATGGGAAAAGTTGATCAATATAAAATTAAATGTAGGGTAATAATATAAAAACTGCAATTGAATATCCATAGATTCACATCTTCTAGGCAATCGAAATAGTGGAGATTCGTATTCCATGTTTTTTATCAGGTGCTATCAGATGCCCCTATCCCAAGGACAGACAAATTCCAGGATAACCCAATTCCAGAAGAAGCTTATTCTTAGGACAACCTTCTTAAGGTACCCAATTGGGCCCATATAGAATAGAATTGGATTCTATAGAATTAGATCCTAACCAAGAATCATTTCTAACTGACTTTGAATCTTATTCGTATTCGTAAACTCCTATTCTTTATCAACACACATATACAAACAGCCAGATCTATAAACTTGAATCATCACAAAGATTCTTATTGAAATTGTGTGGCTGAGAAAAATAAATAAAACCTATCAGTATATAAATAAGGAGTTGGAAATGGTCACCAAAGGTAAATGGTCTCTTTAAACATAAAAACAGAGGAAAAAAAAATGGTCTCTTGATGTTTCTAACTCGTCAAGGATTCATATTGAAATTTATGTTTCCAACTCATCCAAGAATCCTTGTGAGAAAAAAAATAAGGATTTCATCATTATATAAAGATACCATTTACCTTTGGTACAAGGTGGTTACAATTAATCTTGACCTTAGGATGTGAAATTGGGTGGCTGCATTTATTTCATTGACCAAACTCAAAGTTCAAAAGAAATTTTCTCAAACTTTGTGACATATCCAAACCATCAAATTTCACATCGGATGATTGTAAGTAATTGTGATATCCCTAAATGGTCTCATTGT